GAGAAGCGTGAGCCCAGGGAACGCGGGGTGGGGAGGGGGTGACTTACAGTACAGAGCGGGCGGGGGGCATGGCCCGGTGCCCCACAAGGCAGGACGGGACATGCTGGTGCACTGCATGGAAGCCACGGAGGGCCCTGTCCGGGGGCAGCCGGCAGGACTGGGGAGCCCATGGGGAGCCACCTGGAGCCCATGTGGAGCCCATGGGGAGCCCACTTGGAATACAGGGGGAGCCCATCCTGAGTGCACAGGGAGCCCACCCGGAGTGCATGGGGAGCCCACGCTCCCCGGAGTACACGTAGAACCCACCTGGAGTACACGGGGAGCCCACCTGGAGCCCACAGAAGCCCACACGGAGCCCACAGGGAGCCCAGGAAGAGCCCGTGTGGAGCCCACCCAGAGTTCAGGCGGAGCCCATGAGAGCCACACAAGCCCATGGGGAGCCCACCCAGAATGCACAGGGAGCCCACCCAGAGTCCACAGGGAGCCCATGCGGAGCCCACACGGAGCCCACATGGAGCCCACGGGGAGCTCACTCAGAGTACACAGGGAGCCCATGGGGAGCCCATGCAGAGCCCACCTGGAGCCCATGGGGAGCCCACCCAGAATGCACGGGGAGCCCACCCGGAGTCCACGGGGAGCCCACGCGCGCCCATGCGGAGCCCACCTGGAGCCAACAGGGAGCCCACCCAGAACGCATGGGGAGCCCCGGAGTCCATGGGGAGCCAACGCGGAATACAGGGGAAGCCCACCCAGAGTCCACCCAGAGTCCATGGGGAGCTAACGCGGAATACAGGGGAAGCCCACCCGGAGCCCACCCGGAGCACACAGGGAGCCCACGGAGCCCACGCAGAGCGCACCCGGAGTCGGCGGCCACCCTCCAGTGAGCCCACCCGCGCAGGGCCTAGAGCCAAGAGGCAGGGCGGGCCGCTGGCAGGCAGGGAGCCCAGGCCGCGCGGTCCTCCGGTGACACTGGCAACCCTGCGGGCTTGGGCCGGGGGCCCCCACCTCCCGCCACGGGCGGGCCACCGGGGGCCCAGCTCGAGCCCGCGGGCATTGCTCCTGGGGAGCAGCCGGCCGGCCTGCGTGGCAGGGCGGCCGGGGAAGCCGCCGCGGGCATGGGAATCAGGTCATTGGGGCTTCCGGGGGAGACACAGAGGCCAGGGGAAGTGGGGAGAAGGGCGCCAAGTGAGGACGGCCTGTCCCGAACCTCAAAACGCAGAGCTGTCATTAAAATGCAACATAGCTTTTGGCAAACAGAGTCCATCTCTCTAAGCAAGTAAAAAAAAAAAAAAAAATCAGAGGAGCATGAGAGAAAGTATAAGAAAGTCAAGGGCTCAGCTCAAGGGGTGGACGCCAGGCAGGGGAGAGCGTGACAGTCGCGTCCCCACCATCCCTCAGGCAGCACTTCCAGCCCGAGGGAGCCGCGGTCAAGCCTGAGCCTCCACGGTGAGCGGAAAGCAACGCCAGCCCTCGTCACAGAGCACGTGGCCACGGCTGGGGACACGGTCTCCGGAGAGGAAGGGCTTGGCCCCCAAGCAGGGGCGTCTGGGCGACGGCGCTGCGACAGCAGTGGGGGCGCACGGGACACGGCTCCCCAGCCCCCGCGCCACACCCAGCAGAGGCTGTGCCACACATGCGAGGAGTCAAAGATGGGGTTCATACAGCCCGGCTTTTTTTTCCCCTGACATTTGTTCATGAGCAACACACAGAGAGGGACAGAGGCCCAGGCTGATGGAGAAGCAGGCCCCTGAGGGGAGCCCGACGGGACTCGATCCCAGGACCCCGGGGTCACGGCCTGGGCCCAAGGCAGACGCCCAGCTGCTGGGCCCCCCAGGCGCCTCTACACACCCTCTCTTAGAGAGTCACAGAAAGGTGTGTTTGAACAAGGTAAGAGAATACGTTAAGAAAAACAAGTACGTGAGTCAAAAAAATGAAATACGACATAGTCTGTCAGCAAAAGAGCAGTTTCAGAATGCAAGGTCGGGACGAGGCCCCGAGTAGAAGCACCCAGATTACCGGGGCCGGTGCTAGGTGGTAGGAAAAACAGGTCAAGGGGAAAAAAAGGCTTAAAAAATACACTTGGGCCTTTAACAGAAAGAAACGTCAGACTCCTCGGAGCGCTTGTGAACGTACATTACGATGAGCACAGAAAATTAAAAAAAAAAATCAAGACACAAGAAATTACCAACTCCAGGAAAACCAAAATGTCCTAAGAAAAAGACTACTTTGCTCAGCAGTGAACAATGCTCATTTACTCAAACTAACATGAACACGGAACATTGAGAAAAAAATTCTTTAAATGAAGCGACTATCGAAAGGGTAAAGGGAAGGGACGGGTGTGGCCAAGAGCTTGATCTTAAATGATCCAAATGGGAAGAAGGAAATTAGACCTAAAATTGACGGGTTGAGAAACAGCAGGACACAGACCCCCAAAACGTAAGGAGGAGGGCAAAAACATTCCGCTTGTCTTCCTGCAGCGTCTGATGAAATATGTGAACGTCCTAAACATTTCAACTGTAATAACTCAAAGAAGGTGGATCTTGCTCAGCTGAAGAACTGATTTCGTCCCTAAGAAAATACTAAGGTACGCGAATGCCTCAGTCCCTAGAGGCTCTTCCTTCCCAGAACATGAAGAGGCACGTTCTTGCTGCATCATCTCCCGTAGGATTAGAAAAAGTCCTACTAATGAAAGCTTTTGATATTCTCAGGAGCCTCTGATGAATCCTACACCTGGGTCACCGTCACCTGCTCACTGACCTTCCAGAGATTTCAGGAACACACAGGGATTTGCTCAGTGGTTCACCTTTAGCTATAAAACTCACACCGCAAGCTGTGAAAAGAAAACTGTCAACTACACACCCTATAACCGGATCTTTTCTGGGTGTTAAACCACCAGACGCTGTGTTGGAAAGAGAACTCAGCCAGAAGCAAAAAGAGCTGGAATCCAGTCCGCACTTGTCTGACCCGCTCCCTGCCCTCCCTACCCATTCTATAGTCTTTGCCCTCAGCGGGCCAAAATCCTCTCGCATGTAAAATCAGAGCTCATCTACTTTTTTTTTTTTTTTAATGAAAGTAATTCCATGTATTCCTGAAACCAGGTAATTAAAAAGAAAACCAGGGGGATCCCTGGGTGGCTCAGTGGTTTGGCACCTGCCTTTGGCTCAGGGCGCGATCCTGGGGTCCCAGGATCGAGTCCCGCTCCCTGCATGGAGCCTGCTTCTCCCTCTGCCTGGGTCTCTGCCTCTCTCTCTCTCTCTCTCTCTCTCTCATAAGTAAATAAATAAATCTTTAAAAAAATTAAAATTAAAAATAATAAGAAAACCTAATCATTTATAATTCTAAAAAATCATTCATAGTCACTCCTAATCCTAGGACCCCAGGAGAAGCACTGTCATTATTTTGGCCAGTTTCTTTCTATAATAGTCTTTCAAAACACAATACCAGACATCATACACAGAATAGTACATCTGGGGCTTTTCACTTGCCAATATTGAATATTTAACATCGTACAGATAGACCAGAAATTTATTTCACCTATATCCTACTGTGGCTGTTCCTCATCGTAAATGCTGTAAGCAGCATGGCTCTATTTTCCTTATAGTCCTTATCTTTGCAAATTCCCCTTTGGTTCATTGTTAATACAAATCCCTAGGATCGAAATTCTTGAAATAAAGGGTAAGCTACGTTCAAGACTTTTGATCCCTTAACCAAACTGCTTTTTAGAAAGGGCCGAGACGCTTTATGTTCCTACCAGGCATGTAAGAGAATAAACTTTTCATGCACCCAAATGAAAACACACATTTTTTTTTCTATTCTGACCAATTTGATTATTAAAAATAATATTTTCCTTAGTTCTACATTTCCTTGATCACTTAAAAAAATATTCTAGTCCTACAATACTCTAATTGCTTTAATGATTCACATTATCACACCAAGGACAAGTAACAGGAAAATGTACTCAAGAAGATTAACCGGCCCTCCATTATTTATAATTTCTAAAATCTTGTATGATTATATAATCTTTTTTTTTAAGATTTTATTCATTTATTCATGAGAGACACAGAGAGAGAGAGGTAGAGACCCAGGCAGAGGGAAAAGCAGGCTCCATGCAGGGAGCCCGATGCGGAACTCGATCCCGAGACCCTGGGGTCACACCCTGGGGCAAAGGCAGAGGCTGAACCGCTGAGCCCTCCAGGGATCCCTGATTACATAATCTTAAAAATACTGAATCAAGCAGTGAAATTCCTATTATACACATTATTCCACATTATGCAACACATGCTATAATTTTTCATGCTATAATTTTTTATATATTCTCTAATTAGAGATAGCTGAATATGTGATTTTTTTTTAAGAGCGTAAGTTTAGAATCCGAGAGCCGAGGAGTGTGACTTCGCTCTGCGTTAACTCCTGACCTCCTCCCGGGCCTCGGCTTCAGATAGAATAGTGACCCCAGTCTCCTGCACGGTCATCGCCACCAGTGTCGGACCACGGGAGGACGCTGCCACCCGTAAACACCACGGAAAGGTGACACCTATTTCTACCGCCGTCGTCATTCACAGAGAGACTCCAGACGCCGCAGGGAGGCCCCACTTGGTGCCTGCACCCCCCCTGCACCCCCCCGCTGCCCCCGAGATGCCCAGTCGGCTTCCCCCGCTGGGACTGTTGCTCTTGACTCAACTGCACTTCTGTGCCACTCTTCTGAAGGTCACCTCCCCTTCGGCCCCATCGGGACCGCTAAGGGGACGCGGCCCTGGGGCCTGCAGCGACAGGCTACTAGGGACCAGACTCCTGACGTTCCGAGCAAGGGCCAGAGGGTGAAGGCAGGATACGCGACCTCCCGGACGGCGGGCACGAACCCGAGAGCCTCCCGCGCCGCTCCGCTCTCAGCCTCAGGTCTTAGGGGCTCAATGGCCGCACTTCGCAAGTCCGGGCTCTGCTGACGCCCCCGACACCTTGGCAGCAACAGACCAGAGGAAACCCCAGCGGGGAACACTCACTTTTATTCGGTGGTCATCCGTGTCTGCAACTGTCGCGACTCTAATAAACACAGGATTTCTTTTGTCTATGACTTCAAGCTTCATTTTTTTCTGGAATCCATGCGGAGGTTTCTGCCGTAGAGAAAAGACGACACGGTAAGATCTGGAACAAGCGAGGGTGGGCTGAGCCGCAGACGCAAGGCGGGGTCAGAGAACAACCTCAAACCTGGAGTCCCCACAGCAGCCCTGGACCCCACCCTCCCCGTCAGAAACCTCAATCCCGAGCTCTGGCCAAAGCCTGGGGCGACAGAAGCCAGGCGGCAACTGGCCACAGGAGCAAACAGAAAGCACGAGATCTTCAGATAAAATTCAAAACCTTGTGGTTGTTTGATTAGCCAGAGGGAAGGCAAGAGGTTTTCTCATGAGTTAGAAGGAGGTGTCTCTGCAAAACCCAACAAGCATAAAAATAGCCTATAAAAAGAGAGAGGAACGAACTTTAAAGTGACACAGAGAAATGACACAGAGATTAGAAATGGTCACGAGACCATGCAAAAGATGGATCTTTAAAAAAAAGAAACGAAAATAAATAAATAAATAAATAAATAAATAAATAAATAAATAAATAAATAAATAAATAAATAAGGAAAAAAATAAATAAAAAGAAAAAAAAAAAGAAACGAGGCCACGCAAGACGGAATCAGCCCGTAAGAGTGGGACTGAGCAGGGGGCAGCGTCTGTCCTACACCTGAGCCGCCTGTGCCTCGTGCTCAGCACAAACCCGGAAACCTCCGACAAGGCAACAAGCTGTAGAAGGCAAGGTGACGGCCAGGTTAGGCAAGTTGCCCCCCTTCTGGAAAGTGGGTGCAACAAAACTCGGGCCCTGAAAATGAAGTGTGAAAACTCTGTGAAAGAGAAAAAACAATCACAGTGCAAGGGCCCTGAGGCCACACTAGAGAAAGCAGAGGCATCAATGCGACGGGAGACACGAGACTGATGCTGAGTGATGGGATCCCGTCCAAAGCAAAGTGCGACGCGCGTCTTCTAGGGAGTCCAGGAAAAAGAGCGCCTCACTCTATTTGTTCTTAATTCCTAGGTTTACGATCAGATGGATTCATGCACATTCTTTTATGTTGCTTTTCTTCATGTAATATACTTTTTTCTCCCCAAAATTTTTGATGTGCTTTTCTATATTTGGGCCCACACTTCTAATTAACTCCATCATTAAAAACTCTAGCAATTTATACCCGAGAAAATCAGTTTTAAAGACAAACGTTGTTTATGATAGACTGTGTGTCATCAAAACTATCTTTGAGATATTAAATGATTTTCCCTTGAATTTACAGAAAAATAGAAATTATAAAGGAAGTTGTTAGAGATTCAAAAAAAAAAGAAATTAAATACATTTCATTACTTATTCTTCCCTTGCAAAGAAATGAGGTTTACTTTGAATCTTAACAACAGTTAAGATTATAAGATTATAAAACTTAACAGTTTTATGTTAAGATGCAATGACTCTGGTTAGAAAGTTACTATAACAAAAGCAGGTGACCTTGTATTTTGATGATTAAACATGTGGGTTGAGAGCATGAAACTTAACATCTCAGCTTGCCATAAACAAACCCAAAGCAATTGTTTAAAACAATTTTAATCAGGGGATCCCTGGGTGGCGCAGCGGTTTGGCGCCTGCCTTTGGCCCAGGGCGCGATCCTGGAGACCCGGGATCGAATCCCACGTCGGGCTCCCGGTGCATGGAGCCTGCTTCTCCCTCTGCCTGTGTCTCTGCCCCTCTCTCTCTCTCTCTCTCTCTCTCTCTGTGACTATCATAAATAAAAAAAAAATTTTTTAAATAAAAATAAAAAAAATAAAACAATTTTAATCAGAAAATATCCTGTCTTTTTTCAGTTTCTCAGAGTATCTAGCTGGAAAAACAGAAGTTTGCCGTAAGATCGCAACTCATTCCATAACAACTCAAGCAGAATTTTCTTTTTCCAAGGAGATAAGACCAAGGTGAAAATTTTCCAAGGAGACAAGACCAAGGTGAAAATACTTTCTGGATGCAAACAACAAAAACCCCAGTAACAATTTCGACTTTCAAAATTGTGAGAGGTCAAAAACCTGTCCTGTGGTCTTGTTTCCCTCCCCTTCCTAGTCCGGCTCGCTAGTACTAGCTCTTTCTATTCTTAAATGTCAATGAATGAACACTCTTGTCAACACAAATTAATCAAAAAGTGTAAAACAGATTAACTCACCACTTTGAAAGCTCTTGCAGGGGCAGGTAAAGAATTGGTTTCTTCTAAGTATTTATCCCAAGAAAAATGTTTCACATTTGGATAACCTAAGAAAGAAAGAAGTAAATCCTGTCAGGTTTAACCAAAATGATAGTGAGAACCATAAACGGACCTGTAAAATTATGATATATTGTTATTATGACCTACAAAATTATGTTCATATTCCACATAACTTTGAACACACCCAGAACAAATTATAATAATTACATTGCTTTCATCTTGATCACGACTCCTCTATTACCTTTTTTTAAAAAATTTTTTAAAGATTTTATTTATTCGTGAGAGACATAGAGAGAGGCAGAGACACAGGCAGAGGGAGAAGCAGGCTCCATGCAGGGAGCCCGACGGGGGACTCGATCCCAGGACCCCAGGGTCACGACCTGAGCCGAAGGCAGACACTCAACCACTGAGCCCCCCAGGGATTCATCTTCTATTACCTTTTAAATAAGAATTTAACATATAGGTAGGTGTATAATTTATATTCTCAGGTAAGTCTCATATACAGATACACACAAACCAAAGTACCCTGTAACGTCCAATTCTACTCCTACTAATCTAGGAAAATCTCATGTGCACACAGACAATGCACAGCTGCTTAACATAAAAATGTAAAAACAAGTCTATTAACCATAATATACAAAATGTGTAAATATGTATATTATATATAATATATATAGTACATATGGAATAGAAAGCATTTAGTAAAAATGAATGAGGCAGATTTACATAAGCTAAAATATGATATATTCCAGACAATGTCATCATATTGTTAGGTCAAACAACCAAAATCAAGTCATGGTATAGTATTTTCTTTTTAAGATTTTATTTTATCTTTAGGGAGAGAGTGTGAGTGGAGAGAGAGGCAGAGGGGGAGGGAAAGGGAAAGGGAGAGACTAATTGATAGCGGACTCCGTGTGCTGAGCTCCGAGCCTGAGGGGGGCTCGATCTCATGACCCTGAGATCATGACTGGAGCTGAAACCAAGACTCAGATGCTCAACCCACCCAAGTGCCCCAGTCATGTAAGGGTATTAATAAAACATGTAGAAATAACTATTCCTCTTTCCTCCTGCCCCCATGTTTTCCCTCTGAGTCCAAAATCCATTAGGCAGGCATGAGCAGGAATTAACAGTGGCTCAGAGGCATGGGAAATTGGCCAATAAAGAGGATTGAAAACATAAGTAAATATACTGAGATACAGGAAGGCGGGTCTCTCACTGGCCGTAAAAAGAAGTATAAATAGAGAAAGTATGAAACTGGAATAAACTGAGGGGTCTTGGCTAATGATACAAACTCATTGTTTTCAATGTCTAAACAGATACAGAAACATACATAATTTTTTAATACTTTCGCATGGATGCACTTCCTAACTCTATTCTCTGAGAGACTGAAGTAGCATCAGCCCACAGCAAGGAGCACATCTACTGCTTAGATGGGAGTCTGAACGAGGGAAAGTACAAGATAAGCCTAGCTGTGCCAGAAAGTAGGAAGTTCTCAAAAAATGATTAGAACACATCAAAGGACATAGTAACCAGCTTAAAGGGACTCCCGCTGACCAAATCTGAGAAAATCTGGACCTAAAAATAAATAATACTGGTTAAAGATTATAACCCATGGATAAAAACAGTAAGAGACAAATAAATTAACTGAATGGATAAATGGGAAGATGTGAAAGCTATTCTTTGCAGAAGAATACCAACTAATTATGTACAAGGAATAAAAAAAATTAGCATTTAGCAGCTGTCAAAATAGTAACTCATACTAGAAATATCAACAGATGTTAAAAGTAGTGAGCGGGCAGCCTCGGTGGCGCAGGGGTTTAGTGATGCCTGCAGCCTGGGGCGTGATCCTAGAGCCCCGGGATCGAGTCCCACGTCAAGCTGCCTGCATGAAGCCTGCTTCTCCCTCTGCCTGTGTCTCTGCCTCTCTCTCTCTCTGTGTCTCTCATTAATAAATAAATAAAATCTTTTAAAAAAAATTAAAAATAAAAAAAGTAGTGAATGACAACGGTGATGAAGTCCATGACAGTCATACAACTTCAAAGCATCTCCCCATGAGATACTAATAACAGAGAAAAAGTGACTGTTGGTGGAAAAGCCTGGCAAACACCATCTTTTTTTTCTTTTTTAAGATTTTTAAAATGTATTTATTTGAGAGAGAGAGAGAGAGAGAGAGAAAGGGAGAGAGAGCTTGCACATATAAGCTGGGGGGCGGGGGGGGGGCAACGGGGGGAGAGAGAGAAGCCTCCAGAGCATGGACCCCAATCCAGGGCTCAATCCCAGGACCCAGGGATCATGCCCCAAGCTGAAATCAAGAGTCAGATGCTTAACTGACTGAGCCACCAGGTGCTCCTGGCCAACAGCACCTAGATCCATTAATGGTAAAAGATCAGTAGTGACGGGCAGCCCGGGTGGCACAGCGGTTTAGCGCCGCCTTCAGCCCAGGGCGTGATCCTTGAGACCCGGGATCGAGTCCCACGTCGGGCTCCCTGCATGGAACCTGCTTCTCCCTCTGCCTGTGTCTCTGCCCCTCTCTCTGGGTCTCTCATGAATAAATAAATAAAATACTAAAAAAAAAGAAGATCAGTAGTGAGACAATTGGCATCGGTCCCTGAGAAGATGCAGCGACAACACAGCACTGCTTCTGTGACATTCCTGCCAAAACATATAATCTGGATCCATCCATGAGAGATGCCAAGCATATCTAAATTAAGCAGCAAGCCACAAGACGACGAACCTGTGGGGCGCCCAAGGGGCTCAGTCAGTTGGGTACCTAACTTTGGCTCAGGTCACGATCTCGGGGTCCTGCGATCGAGCCCAGCATCAGGCTCCAACTTCAGTGGGGAGCCTGCTTCTCCCTCTGCCTCTCCCCTGGCTCATGCACCCACACTCTCTCTCTCCCCCAAATAAATAAAATATCTAAAAAACAAAACAACCAAATGGCTAATCTGTTACCCTCCAACATGCTGAGGTCGTGACAGTCAAGGAAAGCCTGACTGAAGGGGAGCAGAGGGACAGAACAACCCAGTGCAATGACTGACCCTCTTCGTACAAGTGGCATCATTTGACCAATGGATGAACTTCAATGGGTTTCTAGGTCAAGGTATAGATGACTTCTGTACTATTTTTGCGACTTTTCTATACCTTTGAAGCTGTTTCAAAGTAAAAGTTTAAAGAGTAAGTATACAAACACATATTTCTCTGAATACAAACCTTTTACAACACATTTTTAAGGGCCCTATCCTGCAGTTTCAGTAATATTAAAGCTGACTGCACACACATGGAAGTTTGTGTACATAAAGGCAAAAAGATTTCTCTGGAGGGATCCCTGGGTGGCTCAGCAGTTGAGCATCTGCCTTCGGCCCAGGGCGTGACCCCGGGGTCCTGGAATCGAGTCCTGCATCAGGCGCCCTGCCTGGAGCCTGTGTCTCCCTCTGCCTATGTCTCTGCCCCTCTCTCTGGGTCTCTCATGAATAAATAAGTAAAATCTTTAAAAAAAAAAAAGATTTTTCTGGAACAAAGTCAAACTATTATGAGAAAGAATAGCCATTACCTCCAATTTCACTCTGAATTTTTCAGAACAGGCATGTATTAATGTACAACCGGATAATTCAAAATAAGATCATTTAAAAAGTCACGAAGACTCTAATTTTAGTAAAAAGAACAGTAAGTATGCTACATATTTTGAAAAAAAGCATGAACGTGGGGTGTGTAGCAGGGCTCCTGGGGGGGGGGGGGACTGATCCATGAAGTAGCGAGAGTGGCACCTGAGCCGTTTCTTCGGGACCGAGAATGACGGGGAGTCTTCCAGACAGGACATCAGGAATGCAGCCAGGAGGCCGCCCTTGGAGCGCAGGAACTGGAGAAAGAGCATCGTTCCTGTCATGGGGCCGAGGACTGACCTCAGTACAGGCCCTGCAAACCGTTACTTGACAGGGTTTTGTTTTGTTTTGTTTTTTTCTAGCTTTTTTTGTATGTGTGCGAGGTGAAATAGCACGTAAAATTTATCACTTTACCCATTTTTAGGTGTACAAGCAGTGGTGATAAGTATTCATGCTGCCCTGCTTGGTACTTTTGGATGTGACATTTGGATTCTTTTAAATTTGTCAAAAAAACTCATTCATTTGGGGGATATAAATAATAGTGAAAGGGAATAGAAGGGAAGGGAGAAGAAATGGGTAGGAAATATCAGAAAGGGAGACAGAACATAAAGACTCCTAACTCTGGGAAACGAACTAGGGGTGGTGGAAGGGGAGGAGGGTGGGGGTGACTGGGTGGCGGGCACTGAGGCGGGCACTTGACGGGATGAGCACTGGGTGTTATTCTGTATGTTGGCAAATTGAACACCAATAAAAAATAAATTTATTAAAAAAATAAAAATAAATAAAATAAAATAAAATGACTTAAAAAAATTTGTCAAAAAATCTATGGCTTTGCTCTTCCACTGAGTTACAGAAGTCCGTGGAGGGAGACGGAGGACTCGGTGATTCACCGGACACTCGAGGCAACGATGACGCCTTCCTTGCTCCACCCCTTCCCATGACCCTTCCCAGTGCCATGAAGATGGAACTGGAACCTACTGTTCACTGGTTCTCTGTTTACTGACCAGATCTCTGATTATGGCCATAAAGTTGGTAAAGAAGAAAAAAAAAAGGATCAATACCAAATTGGGAAACACACATGAATCCTCACAGCAACCTCGATGGCCAGAGGGGCACACAGGTGACTACGCGGTCGGTATTCACCGGCTCGTGATGCGACGCAGACCCCAGGACACAGGAGCGCTCTACAGGAAAAAAGTCTTCCAGGCTGCACCACGTCTGAGCCACAAAAGCGTCGATATCCTGCTTTAACGCCTTACTGTTTGTATTAGGGCTCCTGCATCTTCCCAACAGCTCCATAAATCAGTACAGAAAAAGGGGCTTTTGTGTTTTAACGCAGGAGGAAACTCAGAAAGCAGCGGGGACTCTCCCATCCCCGGGATGGTGGAAAGGGCTCCCTGGGTGAGGAAATGACAGACACTAAGACATGGTACCATGGAACTGGAGACAAGGCCCCAGACGAAGTGAGCCATCAGAAGGGAGTGAGAGGCATGTGCTGGTGGCCCAAGCTGAGCCTCTGCTGCTCCACGCTGCTGGCAACGTCCACGCGTCAGCCCCAAGCAGACCAAGGAGCTGCCCTTTGCCTGTGACGACAGAAGCCGTCATCACTCACAAAAGTCCCCATGAGAAGAATCAAGAATCAATATTGTGAAAATGTCAATGTTACCCAGGGCAATTTACACGTTCAGTGCAATCCCTATCAAAATACCATGGACTTTCTTCAGAGAGTTAGAACAAATTATTTTAAGATTTGTGTGGAATCAGAAAAGACCCCGGATAGCCAGGGGAATTTTAAAAAAGAAAACCATAGCTGGGGGCATCACAATGCCAGATTTCAGGTTGTACTACAAAGCTGTGGTCATCAAGACAGTGTAGTCCTGGCACAAAAACAGACACATAGATCAATGGAACAGAATAGAGAACCCAGAAGTGGACCCTGAACTTTATGGTCAACTAATATTCGATAAAGGAGGAAAGACGATCCATTGGAAGAAAGACAGTCTCTTCAATAAATGGTGCTGGGAAAATTGGACATCCACATGCAGAAGAATGAAACTAGACCACTCTCTTGCACCATACACAAAGATAAACTCAAAATGGATGAAAGATCTAAATGTGAGACAAGATTCCATCAAAATCCTAGAGGAGAACACAGGCAACACCCTTTTTGAACTTGGCCACAGTAACTTCTTGCAAGATACATCCAGGAAGGCAAAAGAAACAAAAGCAAAAATGAACTATTGGGATTTCATCCAGATAAGAAGCTTTTGCACAGCAAAGGATACAGTCAACAAAACTAAAAGACAACCTACAGAATGGGAGAAGATCTTTGCAAATGACGTGTCAGATAAAGGGCTAGTTTCCAAGATCTATAAAGAACTTATTAAACTCAACAGCAAAGAAACAAACAATCCAATCATGAAATGGGCAAAAGACATCAACAGAAATCTCACAGAGGAAGACAGACATGGCCAACAAGCACATGAGAAAATGCTCCGCATCACTTGCCATCAGGGAAATACAAATCAAAACCACAATGAGATCCCATCTCACACCAGTGAGAATGGGGAAAAGTAACAAGGCAGGAAACCACAAATGTTGGAGAGGATGCGGAGAAAAGGGAACCCTCTTAAACTGTTGGTGGGAATGTGAACTGGTGCAGCCACTCTGGAAAACTGTGTGGAGGTTCCTCAAAGAGTTAAAAATAGACCTGCCCTACGACCCAGCAATTGCACTGCTGGGGATTTACCCCCAAGATACAGATGCAGTGAAACGCTGGGACTCCTGCACCCCGATGTTCATAGCAGCAATGTCCACAGTAGTCAAACTGTGGAAGGAGCCTCGGTGTCCATCAGAAGATGAATGGATAAAGAAGCTGTGGTCTATGTGTACAATGGAATATTCCTCAGCCATTAGAAACGACAAATACCCACCATTTGCTTCCACGTGGATGGAACTGGAGGGTATTATGCTGAGTGAAGTAAGTCAGTCGGAGAAGGACAAACATTATATGGTCTCATTCATTTGGGAAATATAAATAATAGTGAAAGGGAATAGAAGGGAAGGGAGAAGACATGGGTAGGAAATATCAGAAAGGGAGACAGAACATGAAGACTCCTAACTCTGGGAAATGAACTAGGGGTGGTGGAAGGGGAGGTGGGCGGGGGGTGGGGGTGACCGGGTGACAGGCACTGAGGGGGGCACTTGGTGGGATGAGCACTGGGTGTTATGCTATATGTTGGCAAATTGAACACCAATAAAAAAAAAAAGTCCCCGTGAGCGACCACCTGCAGCACAGGGATGCTCCGCGTCAGCTGATGACCTTGCCTTCTCGGCCAGGTGGCAGCCACGGTGCCTTCAGGAGGCTGATGCACGTGGAGATACACTCAACGTGACATACAACCGTCATTTACCAGCAGTCACACTGTTCCCTGCCAGGGAGCGAGGGAAGGAGCTGAGAAGGGCCCACGGGACCGGGGCGGACGGCGAGGCAGCCAAAGCTGCAGAGCACAGAGAAGCGGTCCTACCAGCAGACGTGCAAGGTCTATTTTGGAACCAACAACCCAAAAGAAAACGGGAGAGTGAGTATGTGAGCTCCCATCCAGGTCACGAAGGGAACATACCTGCAGCCTCAAGTTCCCCCTTAACCGTGAACACTGTGCCTTCGTCAGAATCGACTCACACTTGGGGTCAAGGCTCCATCCGCAAATGCTGCCCCCAAGGCCATTCCCCTTATTCATTAAAGCTTCAGACAACACCCTTCTGCCAGATGATAAATTTAAATGCCTATTCACCTATTCACATAAGGTCTAGAAATGAATTTCAACTTGAGAAATAGAAGATGTTTGGAAAAAGAACTTTTTGGGGCGCCTGGGGGGGCTCAGTCGGCAAAGCGTCTGCCTTGGGTTCAGGTCATGATCCTGGGGTCCTGGGTCCAGCCCCGTGTTGGGCTCCCTGCCCCTCGGAGCATCTGCTCCTCCCTCTCCCTCTGCCCCACCCCACGCTCACACACGTGTGCACTCTCTCTCTCTCAAATGAAACCTTTGAAATAAATAAATAGATAAATACATACAAATAAGAACGAACTTATTTTCCAAAGAAGACAACCCCTGATACTCTGTCAGGGACTCAGCCGCTGCGTAGACTTCCAGGGGCATCAGAGGCAGCAGACCCCGGCCTGCAGGCTTTGCACATGAAGCCTTACCCCAGCACAACCGCGTGCACTTGGGGCTGCCTTCGTGCTAAAACCGAACTGAGTAGGTGTGCCAGAGTTTTCACGGACTCCCGCACCGAAAATACAAACTCTCCGGCCCCGGGCAGAAAGGGTTTGCAGACTCCTGACGTATGTGAAGAAGGATACGAGGCACAAAATGCGCACAAACCTGGTGGAGTAATGAGTGTTCTCCTGTGCTCCTTACACCAGCCGACGGGGTGGATGTGCGGGCTCGAAGCTTCACACCTGTAGGGCATGTAAATCACAAAACCGTTAATTATCGGGATAAATTCTGAAATACAAATAAATATGCACATAAATAGTCATCGTCACGAGCAAGCTGAAATTACCTCCGCACGTCTAAGGGCAGACCTGCAAGGGGCTGGAAGCTCCATCACCTGTCTGTCCCCCCCCTTTTGTCTCCTCCCTGTCGTCTTTGCTTCGGCCAAGCACATATTTCCATAAGACCTTCGATCACTCTGCCTATGCGGCATCTGATTCCTTGCTCCTAATCAAACTCGATCTATGTATCTCTCATCTTCACAGGCAACGCATTTCATTCATTCGTTTGCTCCTTCCCTCATGCAAACACTGAGCGCCTATGGCACACCAGGCACTGGCACAGACGATGAGGATGCAGCAGCACGTACGACATGCACAAAGCTCCCACTTTTGTGGGGTCCGCGATATACACGGGAGAGACGGGAAGTCAATGAACAAATACGCATTCTGGGGGCCCAACAGGCCGCAGACAGGTAGTGGAAGGAAGAAGCAGGGAGCAAAAGTGGAAAGGCAAGGTGGCCTCTCAGATAAGGGGACGGCGAAAGAAAGTGAAGGAAGAGAACCGAGCCACTCAGATACATTTAAAAAGAAAAAAAAGAAAAAAAAAGGCCATTCCATGCAGAGGGAACGGCAGATAGGAAGGCCATGAGATGGGCGTCTCATGGCTGTCGGGAGCAGGCCTACGGCCGAGGGAGTAACACCAGGAAGGGCCTTCGGGCATAGGGAGGTCTTGGGATTTTGCTCAGAATAAAGTAACATTTACTAGAACGTCACACAGGGGGTTTTTAGGCAGAAGAGCAGCAGAATCTGATCTGTTTTGAAGTCATTGTTCCGACCGCTTTGCAGACAATTAACCACACTGGAGACGAGATGAGGCTGTTAGGAGGTTTTCGCCAGAGTTGATGGTGGTGACCCGGACCGAAGTGTTGGTGGAAAAGATGGTAAGAAGTGATCGTGTTTTCAGGTCTAGGTTTTAAAGGAAGAAGCAACAGGTGGATCTGCTGCAGAAGGTGAGGGGTGTGAAGAAGCCAAGGACGTCCCCAGCCCTGGGCCGCTGGGAGGAAGCAGGACCTTGTCCTGAGGTAGGCAGGCCGCCGACGCCGTCTCTCGCGTTGTGCAAGGTGAAGAGTCTGGCTCTCAACACGGGTTTGACCAACAGGTCAACAAGTCAGAGATCACGAGCATAAAAAATCTGGAGCTCAGAGACTAGAGCAAGGGAAAAAGCACACATGTGGGAGTCAGGAGCATGTGGGACGATATTTAAAGTCGTGAGCAGGGGTGAGGCCATCCAGAGAATGAGCAGAGACAGCAGGGGAGGGAGGAGGCAACGAAGTCCAAGACGTGATGTCTAGAAAATACGGGAAGGAAAGAAAGAAGGAAGAAATCAACGTGGACGCTGGATCCTAGAAGAGAAGAAATGAGACCTGATCCCGGGATGCACCAACGCAAAGCTCGTGGGCATTCCCGCGGGGCTGGAGCCGGAGACGGAGAAGGGAAGAAGCCAGAATAGGGTGGGGTGTTGTTTGGTTTTTTAACAAACAGACATACGTTCGCTTATTTATTTTAGGTGGGGGGCGGGGAAGAGCAGGGAGGGGGAGAAACGCAAGGAGACTGGACACCCAGGGCTCCCATCCCATGATCCCTAGGTCACCACCTGAGCCGAAAGCAAGAATCGGACACTCATGCAGGGCCAGCCCGGCACCCCCGGAATACGACGGGTTTGAGAGAAAAACATGGGGACCGTGCACGGAGCCGGCCGGTAGAGGAGACACACTTAAGGAGTTGGTTTAAGAGGAAACCAAAGCAGGCAGCCCGGTGGCTCGGCGGTTAGCGCCGCCTTCAGCCCAGGCCGTGACCCGGAGGTCCGGGGATCGAGTCCCCATTGGGCTCCCTGCATGGAGCCTGCTTCTCCCTCTCCCTGTGTCTCTGCCTCTCTCTGTGTCTGTACGAATGAATAAATAAAATCTTTAATAATTAAATACATAAAGTTTTAAGTAAACTCTAGCTCCTCCCTACCCCGCCCCGGCCCCGTGCGAGGTTCAAAGTCACAGCTGTGAGACCAGGAGTCACACTCTGTACTGGCTGAGCTGGCCGGGCACCCTCCTCTGCACCATTTTTCAAGTTTAGCATTGCTTTAAGATATGACGCTTTTAAACGATGGGAAATCTGACTTCATTTACCCAGGACACCCATGCTGAGCCAGAGCAGTGCCACAGGCAGGGCGTTCTAGGGTCAGGGCTACAGGGGCTGGCAGAGAGCCCCGAGGCCCCTTCTCCCAGTGCTTGGACACGGACAACAGGAACCCAGCCCCGCAGGATGGCCTGCTCACACGGGGGCAGAATCCATCAGGAGCGGGCCGGGCCGGGACCCCGCACAGCAGGGCCAGGACTCCGCGCCCCAGAGGGCAGGCCGCTGCGAGCGCACGGACGCTCTGCTGCCTCGGTCTTTCTCCTCGAGGACCAGGGAAGAAGGCTGCCAGTGGAGACGGAGGCCCGGGAAGGGGTGAGGGCAGACAGGGGCGCGCTCTGGGCGCCAGGCACGGGCCCGAGGGAGGCGCACATGGAGTCCAACTGGGGCTGCGGCGTGGCCGGGGGCACAGTACAAGGCAATGGAGGCCACCGTTCAGAGGCGGCAGTTATAGCGCGAGACACGTGTCCCGGCATCTAGGACACTAGAGACACTAGAGACACGGCACAATGAAAATCTGTTAAAAAAAACAAAACTGGTAGATCAGGTCTCAATGGCGTTCCCAAAGTCAAAGGGTACGATGGAGCTTGAAAAAAAATCAGGGGCTGCCCGGGTGGCTCACGGGTTAAGCGCTGCCTTCGGCCCAGGTCGTGACCCCGGAATCCCAGGATCGAGTCCCACATCGGGCTCCCTGCATGGAGCCTGCTTCTCCCTCTGCCTGTGTCTCTGCCTCTCTCTGTGTCTCTCATGAATAAATAAATAAAATCTTAAAAAAAAAAATCAGGGGATCCCTGGGTGGTGCAGCGGTTTAGCGCCTGCCTTTGGCCCAGGGCGCGATCCTGGAGACCCGGGATCGAATCCCACGTCGGGCTCCCGGCATGAAGCCTGCTTCTCCCTCTGCCTGTGTCTCTGCCTCTCTCTCTCTGTGTGACTATGATAAATAAATTAAAAAAAAAAAACATTAAAAAAAAATCAGGGCCAAATGGTCAAAATATCTAATGCATCATTAGCATATTCACAACTGTCAGGTTATATTATAAACAGACAAGCCTTAAACAGACAACCTCGCTCTCCCTGAGGATATTTAACCATGAAGAGTTCACCCTCGGGGAACACAGCTGGGGACTGTCGCTCTAAGGACCCCACAGAGCCACACTCAGTGGGTCGTCCTGAAAGGTCAGGACACCTCAACACAGCCCCCCCCCCCGGGGGGGGCGGAAAACTGTGGTCAGAGCATCTTACGACTAGTGAACGGCAAAGAACTTTCTAAAAAATGCTCCACGTGAAGGAGGTCAGCGCACGGTCGCGTCTTTTCAAACCAACTTTCAGATCAGTAGCCCTGGACGGCGTCAAGGGGAGCTGACACAGCCCCAACTTCACGTTGCTTTTTCTCAGGGTTATTTCAGTGAAAAATACCTTTAAATTTACAGTTGAACGCTCCTTCCTTTCTGTTGCTTTATTCACTTGTTATCTCCTGCCCCACACTTTTATTTCTCTTAATCTATGTATCAGGGTCACGCATATGTGCACATGTCATTGTTTTAGAAGTGGGAAAGAAAAACGTGTACATTTCTTACAAAGACATAACTTCATAAAAGTAATTTTATTTATTTTTTTTAAGATTTTTATTTATTTATGCATGAGACACAGAAAGAGAGAGAGAGGCAGAGACCCAGGCAGAGGGAGAAGCAGGCTCCATGCTGGGAGCCCGACGCAGGATTCGATCCCGGGACCCCGGGGTCTCGTTCTGAGCCCAAGGCAGGATCTCACCCGCTGAGCCCCCCAGGTGCCCCGATAAAGGTCATTTTAATACACAATTCCATAAAATGCATTCTGTTGAGGGAATGCAAACTGCAGCAGCCCCTGTGCAAAACAGCATGGAGGTCCCCCATAACCACAAAATCAGAAACGGCATGCGATCCAGCAAGCCTGCCGGCGGGTGCTGACCCAGAGGGTGCAAACACCGGTTCACATGGCACCCCGCACCCCTGCTCATCACACCACCTGTCGCGGCCGCTGCTGCGGACCCAGCAGGGAAGGCGGCGCGGCCAGACACACCCAGCCGTGAGGGGTGAGCCCGGCCTGTCGCAGCACGGCCAGACCCGGAGGGCACCTCGCCAGGCAGAGCAAACCAGTCTGGGAAAGGCAGAGACCACGTGACTTCACTTACGGGTGGAATTCAAGAGAAACAAAGGGGGAAATGGGGGCAGACCGAGAAACAGACTGTTGAGGATGGAGCCCAGAGTGCTGTCGGAGAGGGACAGGGACAGGGATGGGGCTGGGGCCGGGGCCAGGGATGGGGACGGGGACAGGGACAGGCCGCGACCAGGCCGGGGCCGGGGCCAGGGTTGAGGACAGGGCCAGGGACGGGGGCCAGGCTGGGGCCAGGGCCAGGGATGGGGACAGGGACAGGGATGGGGCCGGGGCCGGGGCTGGAGACAGGGCCAGGGCTGGGGCCGGGGATGGGGTCAGGGCCTGGAACAGGCATAGGGCCAGGGCAGGCACGCTCATCCCAGGCGCTAAGGCGCAGAGCCGGCTGGCTGCCTCCGACCGCCCCCTAGACAGCCAGGCTGTGCGGGGGTGACCGGCCGCGCCGCCTCTATTTCAGGGAGGTTCTTCTTTTATTTTAGGGAGAGACGTTTACTCACGTAGCCCATTAGTGATAAAAGAAAACACATGTGACGCCCGCCGAGCACCTCCCCTCCTGGCTGGACCTGGCGCCAGCGGTCTCTGCGGTCACCTGGCAGGCCCCCGTGACCCGGGGACAGGGACATCGG